CATTTGATAAACACGTTTAGATTGAATGGTAATTTATAATCAGTCACAAGAACGTCGAATCTGAATCACTTGAAAAAAACATGGGGGTGCTTAACTTTTTTCCAGGTGTATAATAAAGAAAAATCATAATGGCAAAATGTCATTTACTGATACTTGAAATTTTTTAAAACAATAATTTTGACTTGTTGATTATTTTTGTGACATTAATTGATTTAATTATAATTTTGATAATTGATTGTTCTTCATTACACTAATCAGTGTAATAAGTTAATAAAAGTAATTGCCTAGTTTTATTTGTCACCAAATGTTTAGAATGGATACTCTATGAGAACACATTCTGTGTCCATGACTCTTAATTGAAACCATAACAAATTTGGTATCCATGTATGTTATTTAAAACCAAAAGTAGCACTGACAGTATTAGTGTTTCATATACTGGGCACAATGAAATAATTGAAAGTGTATAATAATTATCTTTCTCAAAAATAATTTTGTCTTAGTGAAAATAAGAAAATGTGTAGGATCATTTAAAACATGTCTGACAAACAGTTTTAATTTAAAAAAAAATGAATTTGTATTTAAAATCTAGGAGAATAGTTTCTTACTTGGTAAAATGACAAACAACATATTGTACTTAATAGTCTTTTGACTTGCAGAGAAATACTAAAGCTTCCAGATGGAGGAATGGTTTCTCTTGATTGGTTGGATAATGGCCCTCCTCACGGAGAAACAATAAATAAACCAATAGCACTTTTTCTACCTGGACTGACTGGCCATAGCCAAACTGAATATGTGAAAAGTTTAGTTCCAGTAGCACATCGACTGGGGTGTAGGTAAGACATGTTGAAGACATTTGAGAAAGAAGTAGGAAAAAATCAAAAAATGTTACTCTGAGCTATAGAAGTGAATTTTAACAATATGGAACATCTTAATATCAATCAACATAATTGAACCTTTAGAACCATTGGTAGGACTTTCAACTTCTTGCTACAATACATTTATATGTAAGAAAGATTAAGATATATAATTTGTGTAACATAGAATCATAATTTACATCATATTCAACATTGATTTTTTTCATCAAGAATAGAAATTGGTGGATAGATAACTTGATTACATTTATCAAATGCAAGTTTCAGTTTTTTGATAGAAATCAGTTTTTTTGTTCATTAAATTGTTAAAGATGAGATTTGTTTTAGTCCATTGAGCAAATAGAGGCAATTGATTGACTCTTGACAAAGATGTTTGAGTGATATGGCTTGGAAATGTTGACAGATAATGTTTTGTAATAGTATTGTAACACCATTAATGTATAATGTGTTGTTCACCAGTAAGATCACCCATCTATGACTTTTTTGTTTCTGCTCTCATGTCTGGTTTATACCTGCTATAAGAATAGGCTGAGCTATATGTTTAAAGCACCCCAAGCACAAAGATGGTATATTTTAGTATCATCTAGTGGTTTTTGCTAACCAGAGTAATTAAAACTGTGCATTTCCATCCTTCAGGTATGTGTGTTAATGTATTTAAAAAAAGTATTGTTTCAATATACTCTTTACTTTATAAGTTTTAAAGGCACAATTTTTTAAGTTACTGGAGTTTTATTAGAACTTTTTTTGTGTTTTAATTCTATTAAAAATAGAATCTTAAAACTCCATGTAATTTAAACATATTTTTGCTCATGGGTGTCTGCAGAAATGTTTCCATGGAGGGTGGGGGCAAAGTCAAAATCAAGAGACAATGGACCCGCCTACAAAGTTTTTGTCATTATAGTCAAGAGAATAGGCAAGCTCCCACGGTCAGATCTGATGGGTTTAATATTTGTAAAATTAGTTTAAGCCATACTACAGACTTGCAGATATATATATACTCCATAATAGTAAATTTTTGTATGTTCTTTTAGATTCTGTACCCTATAGGGTAATTTCACCATGATGGAATATTGTTGTGTCGGTGCTTATGACGTTGATACTTCTCTGGCAGCAGGTTAACTCTGAGCATGCTGTCTCATGGGATATCTGCAAAACAGCATAAGTTTCTTTGTTAACCTTCTGCTTATAATATTGGCACATTTTCAGGACTCAAGGGATATTGGCAAGTGCCCCCACCCCCACAGACTCCCATGTTTGTGCATATAATTTAAACTAATAAGAATTTAAAAAGTACCAATAATTCAATTATTTGGAATTATGAAATATTTATGTTTGAATTAACTTACAGGTGTGTGGTGTTTAACAATCGTGGAATAGGAGGGGTGGATTTATTGGTTAGTAGACTTTACACTTATGGTATTGTATGTTTTACTTTTCCTGTTATTTGTTACTTAAATAGCTTCATATTACCTGATAGTATTCATAATGTTATATATTACTAAATCATATGTTATTAATTTTGTAATCTCTAGATTAAAGACTTTATTCTATTGCCTTCAGAAAGTTCCGTATAATGACCCTGTTGAAAGGGATATCTCGTTATGAAGGGAAAATTAAAGTAATACATTATTAGATGATTATTTTTGAACCATAGTGATGTGAAATGGCCCTAAGTGTATATTAAAACAATGAGTGTGTATTATTTTTAAATAAGACACAACTTCTTTCTTAAGACAGAATTACATTAAGTAAACACTCTGTTAAGTTTTTAATATTAATTTTGCAATTAAAGCCAGGTTGGCAATAAATAAATGCTGAGGCAGTAAAGCAATAACAAATTTATGTACTTTACTAATTAAATTAAAATTGAGTGTGGAAAATAGAGGAATTTGAAGTAAATATCTTCAGAAAAGTTGTGTAATTTTCCATTACTAGTTAATACAAATATTTTAAAATATATTTTCAGACTACAATCTAAAAAAAAGTAGCTTTAAGTTAATAGTTTAGATTTAAAAATAACGAAAACTTATTGATAGATAATGTGGTTTGACGGTTTTGCTTTCAAGTGCAAGTAGCCCTTTGAAGTGTCTAGATTGTTTCTAATACATGTCTAAATAAATTATTAAGTGTGAAGGCATACTAAGTAGAGTTGTTCGTAAGTTAAGTTTTTGGATATGGATATTCATAATAAATTAGAAATCTCTGTAAAAGACCTAAATGCTTTAACTTTACCATGCTTGTTTGTGTCAATTTGACACACCTCTTGTATGGTTTGCTTTATTGCATTGTGATAAGAAGATTACTTGTTGAAATAGTTTGAAAGTTTAAAAGAACTTTGTACATGTTATGTAGCTTCTACAAGTAAAATATTTTGTATATATATATATATATGGTATGTTTTTTCTTAGATTTTTTTCGGATTTTAATTACTGATTTTTGCCTTTCTTTGTTCATTAAAAATTTTCCATGAATTTTTTGTTATGTAATGTCAAAATTTATCTTTCTTTTGATTCAAAAAACGCCCTACACAGATTCACTGTGCTTACTGTCATTGATAAAATAGCTATGTTGTAGGGCTGGCTACTGAACTTATAAAGGGAACCAAACAAGATAGGGATGGAAGTGGACATACCACTTGATCGGCCAATGATCACATAGGAGACTAAGCTGTATCGATTTTACATGGAGAATAAAATTCTACATTACTGGTTTCCACACTGAAAAAACAATTAGAACCAGAATTTTGAATTGTAAAATAGTCTTAAAGTTGTATTCTAAAGTCAACTTAAAGAAAGGTATAATGATGAAAGCTGAGATTCTATTTGAATACCAAGATTTCAATACACAAAGTGAGGAAGCCATAATGTAGGGATTTTCTTCTCCATGTAAAGTTGAAGACAGTTTACTCTACTATGTGATTATTAGCTGATCAAGTGATATGTCCCCTTTTATCCCTGTCTTGTTTGGTTTTTTTTTCAAGTTCAATAGCCAGCCCTACATAACTTTTTTATTTAATGAATTTTTTTTTCCTAATACTAATTTGTCTACTTTTTTTTATTTTTATAAGATGGCGTATATGGGTTACTATGTTATAGAGTGTATTCTAAGGCTTTATAAATTTTTCATAGAATAATAATAAAATAGGTAGTCAATAAATGTGAAGACTGTTTTACTGTATCAAATGATGATAAAATTTATAGTTACTGCTAGAACTAGGTAGATGCTAGGCCTGTTGAAGAAAGATAATGATGAATGAAAATAAGAATTTTTTCATGATGTTAGAAAAACATGTTGGTTCAAGAAGTCTTGATAGAAATAAATAAAAACCCTGTAACCTTGCTATCTTATCGAGGGTTTACGATGAGCAAATTAATTATGAGTTGATGTAAGTATGATTCGCCGGGAAGCAAGCTAGCTTTGTCCTTGGCCACACACGCTAGGTTTTCCACCATTGAAGTTAGGTAATATTTTCGTAAAAATACTAATGCCCGATGAGAATCCACTAAGTTAAATGATTCGTAACGTTCAAAAATTATAAATATTACTGGTCAAGTATCTTAAGTTTTCCGATTGATAGGCGTTATAAAAATCACAGTTATAGCTTTCGAAAGTTTATAGCACACTGATTATAGCAAACTACTAATAGACACTCTTCTCGGTGCATCGCATTAGTTATATTTATAGCCATGGGAAGGTTTTCTAGAAAATTCAGTCTTACATAACAATACTGAGCTACGTTTAAACGTTTAAGTATATACATATATTGTTGATTCTTACTCTTGAGAATCTTCTACAACTTCAGAGAATAGGCAGGAGTTTCGCAATACATATTTAACACTATAAGCTACACATGTTTTAAAATATAAACTTAATCTAAACAGACGTTGATATTCGAATAAATATATAATAACAAATTTGTTACATCACAAACATTAATGATTTTGTTTAGAGCTTGCTAAGATCAACTCAAAATCAAAACTTGATATTTTTATGTATAGAATTAAATAAATAAATGTTTTTTTATTGAATAGATTTTAACTCTTGGTGAACTTAATAATGTACTATAGCTGTAGTACTTTTGAGATTATCTAGCTGCCATACTTAGAGGTTGCTAAAATATAAACCTTCAGTACAGGCCATAAAAGGGTCTTAAATAAATTAAATTAGTTAAACTACTTTTGTCAGAACCGTTAACTAAACAGAAACTCTGTCATTGTAGGTTATCTTCCTGTAGTATTAATGTGATATTTTCAGGTCAAACTGATTAATAATGGGCAATTCAACAAAACATTTATTATGAAGTAATTCTGAGTTATCTGACTTTGAGTTTGAGAAAGAAAGAGTGTATACAACGTAGAACACACAAGGAAAACTAATCCATTTAAACTAAAAAACAATCAGAGGTAAATAAGTGCATAAGATGAAGGTCACCACCTTTACTTGATAGTTCTCTCCATTCTTTCCTAAGAATTGGTTAATGTTACAGTGTAACCTTTAGGAAACTATTACTCTTTACAGAAAGAAGTTAAGCTTCACTTTCCAAACTGTGAGCTAGACCTTCATATACCAAATTCTATAATGCTCTATTCTCAGAATACATACACCACCTATGTCACTGTTGATCAATAAGGGAGGTTATAATTTCACATTACCTAACCTACCATTGGAGGACACTACTGTTTAGTTTCAAACACTCAAAGTGTAACCATACAGCCATCTCTCTCGCAGGCAGACTAGGTATTATCTCAAGGGAATGACAAAGAACAAAGGTAGCTAGAGCAAGTACAATGTAATGACTTTCTTGATCATATGATATGTGAAAATTGTACATACCTAGAATAACTGAAAAATTCTGAAAAAGATAGATTAAAATAAGAAGATAGAAAATGCATGGTAAGCTGCATATTATACTAATGCAATGTGTTGATGATACATTACAAAATTTTAGACTAGAAAAGGAAAGTACAAAACAAATGCTGGAAAGAAAAGTTTATATGTAGCCTTGATTATAATATATGAGAACAATTTTCTTCACTAGATGTGTTTATGAAGACACTGATACCTGAAAAGTTACATTAAAATTTGTGAATATATGCAACAGTTCATGAAGCAAGCACACCATGTAAGTAAAGCTTGCAAAATTATGTTGATGAACAGGTCATAAATTTTTAGAAAGTGCTTCTAAATGTTACCAATATTCATGTTATTGAAAATAAGTACAGATGGGAACTAAAAACTATCTTTCCAGATTATATGTTGTTTACTGAAAAGGCTGTGTTTTTTTTCACTGCAGACTCCAAGAACTTACTGTGCTGCAAATACTGAAGATCTTAGGGAAGTATTGAAAATGATACAAGCCAGATATCCAAACTCTCTGATTTTTGCCACTGGTGTATCATTGGGTGGAATAATTCTTGGTCACTACCTTGAAGAAACAGGTTCTAATTCTGTTATCAGTGCTGCTTTGTTGATATCTGTTGCCTGGGATTGTCATGCTGGTTCTCAAAGTCTTGAAATACCAGGGCTAAACTTGATGTTGAACCATCGGTTAACAAACAGCCTTTGTAGAATGATAAGAGAGTGAGTATTTTCTGATAGTTTATTGATCAGTATTTTATGTGGGCTTATTTTAATATACATTTAACACCATTCCAACAATTATTATTTTTAAAACAGTTGTTTGCAGAACTCGTGATTTTAAGTGTATTTATTAATATTTATAAAAAAGTGTTATTTGAAAGTGCATATATAGCATTTCTGAGTTCAGTGATACTTAAATTTATCTTTTTGTGATCTATAATTAGCCATCTTTACAGTGTTATATTTACTGCTGTAGTTTCAGATCCAGCTACAATAGGTATGAATATCCTCAGAACAGTGCAGCTCTTTATGTACATATTTATCCATCATGGTATTTCTTTGTCAAAAATCTTTGATATTTGTTTTCCTGATTACAACTTTTCTCCCTCCTAGTGTTTTAATATTCCCTTACATTCATTCCTAACCTTTGTCACCTTCCCTTGAAAATTTGCTTTCTCAAAGTAATCACGCTTTTTATCAAGCTCTCTGCTTTTATAGTCCAACATTTATATCAACATTGCTTAGTTTACTGACTGTTCTTCATACATTTGTACCAGACCAGTCAGGCTTTTTTTTTTTATGTTGCTTATTAATGGAGGCTTATCACTTTATTTTTTTAATAGATATAAGGTGTATATATGTAATATAAAATAGTAATTGCTTGTAGTGTTTGTATGACTTCAGAGTTTCAGAAGACATTGATTTTTATCTGTCTACTCAATCTTTGTTTTTGTTGATTGCTGAAATCTGTGTTTGTTGTTATCCAGTCTTGTGCATCTTGCAAGTTATTTCACTCTGCCATCTGTGATAAAGCACAGAAAAAAGTAACCAACATACTTTTGGAGGTTAGACTTTCATTCTTCAAAGGTGGAATAGGTCAAGAAAGATGTCTTTATTTTGCAGATTTCAAATGTAATTAGCATTTCAAATCTGTGTTTTATTTACTTTTCACCATATTAAAATTTATTTGCTTCCCTCACTTCTTTAACACATACATGTATATGCCATAGGATGACATTTTGTAAACCATTCCATTGTAATGATATTTACTGAATTCGCACAACTTGTACTTATTTATAGCCTAGGAACTTCTTGCCTATTCTCTGTATGTTGTGTAACTGAGTAAAATTATTGCCTAGTGTGTCTGTAAGTTATTTCTTCTGTGGGCATCTTGAAATGCAAAATCAGGCAGGAACTAGAGGTAGTTTTAACTAGCTTCTTTTTCACAAGCCAAACAGTTCAAAATTGGGGATGGCTAGGTGCAGATAACTCTTGTGTAGCTTTGTGAAAATATTTGTACACAAACAAATTTTACAGTAGTAGTTGCACATTGCTATTTCTTCTATTTTAACATACTTGTACAGATTTGTTTAACTTTATTTTGAAAATCAGACTTGATCAAGTAATTTCCCTCAAAAAGTATACTTTGAGAGTTTAGATGATCATAAAATATGTATATTCTTATTGTACGAGTGTATATCTCTTTCTTTCTCTCTCTGAATCTTTAGCTTTTGTTCCACTTAAAAACATGTTGGATGATGTATGCATGTGAACTACTCTAATAAATCTAGTGTTTTTCCATTAAGAGGCCTCTTTCTATGGTAATCCAATTATGTCATTTTGTTATTAACATCCGCCAACTTCCATGTTCCTCCTTGTAACATTCATAGCTTCCACATGCCAGAGAAAGCAGAAAAAAGAGTGAATTTTATTATGCATTCCCAGACCAGGAAACATCAGGGAATTTAATTTTACAGACAGAAACTGGTAAAAGTCAGTGAACTTTATGTGATTCAGTATTGCTTCAAGCACACTGATGGTAAAAAGAAAATTATCATTGTGTGAAAAACTTGCATACAGGATAATTATGACACTTAGCATGTTATATGTATTTTATTTATAAACACTGTTTTGTCTACATTGAACAAAAAGATTATTATTAATTGTCATGGGATATGAAGGCAGCTGTAATAGATTACATAAACAGTAGCTAGGCTCCTACCTAAATTGAGTGTAAAGACTTTGTCTCATTTTTTATAAATGTCATGGTCCTCATGGAGGATCATTTTATTACTGTTTAAAAGACCTTAACAAATCATTATTCAGAAATAGGCTGTTTCAATTAAATAAGTTATTTTGATCTTACACATTTTAGTACATTGATAAAACAGTACCCATATCAGTATTTATAGAAGAAACACTCAATACCTTGGGTATATTACATCACTGAAATATTTGTATGGGAAAGATTAGAAAGATGTCACAATGAAAACAAAGAGTTTAATTATCTTGTTAAAGCTTGACATTTCAAAGATCTACACAGTTTGGTGTTTTTGAATCTATTTCGTCTTTGTACTTATATTTATTTACTTAATTATAATAATTATATAAAATAATAATTACCACAAACTTTGTTTGAATTCATTATAAAACAAAATATACCTTATTAAGCATTACCTATAGCACACATTACAGATTGGACAGGGGTTGTTAACGGGTGTTATTTCCAAGAGACAGGTAGAATATTACCAGTGACAGTTAGGGAAAACTCGTATTAAGCAAAATATGAATGGGATTGTGTCAAGTTTTTATAGGGCTGGATTCTGTACAGTAGGTGTCTATGATTTGTTGACTATAAATTTTAATAATAAATGGACAGCATACAATCCACTTGTTTTAAAATAATATATATATTCAAAACAAGTCTAACATATGTACAAAATTTCATGACATTATTGTTTACCACAGTTGAATATAGAGTTTTAAATAATTCTCTTTTCATCAAAAGTCCACAAAGGCTGGTTCAGTTAATTTTGAACTCAATTGATAAGATGAATTATTTCTTCTCTTTTATCACAATACAATCGCCCCCCAGTGGCACAGCAGTATATCTGCAGACTTACAGTGCTAGAAACTGGATTTCAATACTCATGATGGGCAGAGCACAGATACCTCAATGTGTAGCTTTGTGCTTAACTTTAAATAAACACAATACAATCAGTCGTAAGTTCACTTGCATTACCTTGTGAGTTACCACAGTTGTATCCAGAGCTTTAAATAATTCTCTTTTTTTTTTGTCAAATGTCCACATAGGTTGGTTCAGTTACTTTAGAACACAACTGACAAGACAAATTCTTCTTCTCTATCTCTGTTGTTACAATATAAGCTGTGGTACTTCCACTTTAGAAATTGCCTGTTATGGCTAAACTGACAATAATGCAGTCTAACATAACTTTTTTCACTTTTACTTTCACTTACTTCCTCTGTATCTGCACGTATTTATAACATTCAACAGAAAAATCTAGAAATATCTAGCCTTCTATTAACGATATTAAACATAACGACAAAGACTTAGAAGGTTCGAGTAAGATGACATCAACAGTATTACAAAAGCTTAGTACAACAATTAAACTACATGCACAATGTACAACTCGTACAGAGTTACCTAACGAAACTTACCATAACTATTGCTTTTAAAATACCTTTTAACACTGTTGTTATGAAAATTAAATAATCATTAAATATTAAATCACTAAATAAATACTCTTAAACTGAACAGTCTTGTATATCCAACAGAATGTATATCAGAATATGAGGATAACAAGTTTCAACGAAAACTAAGTTTAAAATATTGAAATATAGAATATTTCACTGACAATTACTAATAATATGGCATGTGTAAAGATTTTCGAGAATATGGCAATACTTGGGACTATCGAGGCTAGTAGCGAACAAAAATTTGTGCATATATAGGGCAATATAAGTTGAGAAGAGGTAAGTATCTGTCGGAAAATGTTAACCTTAATGCCTCGGATATTGGAGTAATAGTTTAGGAAAATTTACTGTTAGTTAAACAACAAACAAAATGTTAGGGATAGTAAAGAATATAGACTGAAGGTGCTAATCATTTACTGGTATGACCATGATATCTGCAGACACAATCTGTATGGATAATGCCTTCACTGGCCCCTCCACCTTATCAATGTGGGATTCTAGCTGTTTTGTGAAAAGAAATAAGTATGTTTTGGAAGTTAACATTTTCTTAAATCGAAAATGTATTTCCAATAATTCTTACCTTCTCTCACCCTTCCTCCCCACCAAGAGCAGGTGTTAGAGACTGTAGATTGAGTCAGTCTCAAAAAAGTAATAACATTATCTGATTAGGTGCTTATATACAGTACCATCATAGAGAGTGCATTGACATAGGTAGAGAGTGTCATGAGACAAATATTGCCAAGGGCAATTAAGTGTGGTATAAAAGATTATAGCAAGAGAGAAAAAAATCAGACCAATGCTTAGATGGACAAAGGAAAAAACCATTGCAGTCGAGTAATAGCTGTAGCATAAGGTAAGTATTACTGGATATATATTTTCAATTTAAGAAAATGTTAACTTCAAAAATATTCAATAATTTTAGTATAGATTAACTTGAAATTCATAGTTTCAAAGCATGTCCAAAAATAATATAATGTACTCTGGAACAGTGGATGCCTTTTTTAATATGTATGATTGTTTTATAAATATCAGAAATATGAGTTACCGGCTAGCAACTGAAATATTTATACTATACATATTTGTGCATGTATGCACATCATAAATTATTGCTTTAAAAATATTTATGTACAAAAAGCACACTCATTAAAGAACATTCCATTTTGCAACCATAAACATGTTTCTTTTGTATTCAAAGTTGAAACATAATAATCACAAATATTAAAACCTGTAGTGTTATTTATACTGTGATGCCATTTTTGTGATTTAAATTAAAATTTAGAAATGTGATTGGTATGCACAATCATAAACAAGTGGATAAACTTTTTCATTTTATGTTCTGATAATTAACAGTATATGATTAATGTCTTGCAGTTTCACATACTATTATGGATAATAGTTCATTGGTACATTACCATTACAAACATAGATCAAATGGTCAGGGAATAACATTTTTCTCAGGAAAAGGTGTGGGAAATTCAGGAAATTTCATTTTGCTTAAAGTGGGAGAACTATGAACATAGTTTTACAATGTATTTTTCTTGTGTGCCAATATACACTAAATGTTCAGTCTCTCTGGCCATAATATTGATAAAAGGTAAGATTTATATATATTGATAGTTACTGTAACGTGACCAGCTACAGTAGTAGATGGTATTGCAGCTATAAAAAATAGCAGATTTGAATATAAATAAGTTGTTTGTCTGAATTGGTTATTACATGGTCATTTGTTAGTAACATAGGAAAACAGAATTTGGTGACTTCACATGAACTCCTCGTGTTTTTGATTCTGCATCCAAATCCACCAAATAACGTTTTTTGTGTTTGAAAGTAATAATAATTTGTTTAACTGAGTCTAAAACTCAACTTTTCAATTGCTGTCAGGAACAATAGAAGCACTTTTGCACATGTGCAATGAGAGCCCTTTGTGTAGTTCACTTCCAATTATCAAAGCACTTTTTGATACTGTTACTAGAGCAAGATTATTGCTTTGATTTTCTATATTCACTCATGTTGTGTATTTATTTCAGTCAAATTTTACCAAATCAACCACTCAAAATGGTTAATTATGTTCACAGCTGGCATTTTTGTGAAATTTTTTTGTTCATTCAGAAACGCTGATAGTCACTGGCCTCAGAAGCACATGGTCATCCACAGTTTTCTAAGACTTACAGTGGTCCACATCACTGAGCGTCTGTAAGATTGGAAGCTGCAGCATTTCCTCCTTTTTCATAGGAACATCCCTGTCTTTAAAATATTTCTCAAAGTCCTTTCAAGTCCTCTTCAGTGTTTGATTAGACATGTTGGTGATTTGAAATATCATTGTTGCAAGCTGATAAGCACAGTAGTCATCAAGCATACATACTGTATATGTATATGCACACGAATATACTCAAATGAAAATGCCCCATTATCATTATGCCCCAATGACCATCTGGCTAAGGTATTCTGCACATGCATGCCTGTGCATTGTGGATTGATCGTGGAAAGTATTCTGTGAGGTTTAATAACACAATATTTATTTATTTTTTCTTGAATTAAATTACTCGTTCAGAAGAACTGACGAACCAGAAAACTAGTCTTATTATTCCCTTATTGGGACAATTAACTACACAGTAAATGGAAAAGATTATATATATTGGCAATTCCAAGAACTTAACAGCGAAAGTAAATAAGAATAGATAACCACACTATCTACGATATCCATTGCCTAACAGTGTGGCCTTGTTGACAAAAATGAAACTTCATATGTTTAAGTACAAAATGATTTAACTAAGCCTTCCTCATCTTCTTCCATTTCTTTTCCTATCATATTGCAACATCATAATTCAATTAAAGTATAAGATGATAAAGCAAGCTTTAAAAAAAAATCTGGATTGCAATTGTGATGGAATTTGTTCATAAACATCTCCTAACAACAAGTCACCAAGCTAAACTTTTACCAGTCTGTTCCAATCTCTGTGTGAGTATCCACTGAACTGGTAGTCCAATTGGCTCAAAGTTGAAAAGAACAGAAAAGGAGCTTTCACGACTTATTGAAGCTGAGATATAGACAATTACATTACACCATGACAGCTGAAGTTGAGAAACAGTGATTGGCTAAAAACTGGTAATAATACACCTTTATTCAAGTTACAAGATCAAATTAGCATTGTTTTGTTCAAAAATATTACAACTCTCTTCCTAGGAGGCTATGAGTGCCATATTATGCTCAGAAGAAATTCAGGGAATTCAAAAACAATAATGATTTTGTTTGAATAGTTTCTGAAATTGACACAAAATCAAAATTTATTATTTTTATTTTATTTTTATCTATAAAATTAAATAACCTTTTAATTTAGTAAATTTCCAAAATGAAGCATATTGTTTTCCAAATGTGTGGAAGAATGAATACAAGTTTATTTTCTATACTTTTTTTAGTACGATGGTACAGTTTTGATCTTGAGGTGGAATGCACCTATCCAGACATAAGAGTTAGCTTAGGAGTTTGTCTTCCATACATAATCTACAATTATTGAAAATCTCCTGTGCCAATACTTTAGCTTATACATCTCATGATGTATGCTAATAAACAGTGTACTGAGTTAGCTGACAAACGTCTGCTGTCAACTCATGTTGATATTTGACTTTTATGATTTTCATATTTTTTAACTACTTGAAAATAATATAACTGCTGAACTAAAACAAAAGTTTTCAACCTGTTTCCCTCAAAATGCATGCAAGACAACTGCTTTTCAAAAGAGAACATACATTTTTACCACTCCAGTTATTGTTACTTCATTGTCTTAAAATGTGGCACACCCCCTGGAAGCCGGAAGCAAAAGGCACAAGATAGTGCATACTGACTGTAATTAACATGTATATCTACCACATTTGAATCAAAATGAATTCAATAGGCCAACGAACAAAAGAACTTTGAGGAAACTACAGTAACCAGTTTTGGCCTCCTGATGAGCTAAAATGTACAGAGTTTGGAAGAAAATTCTGAGCAAAAATTGGACTGTATGGTCATCTTCAAGCCCATAGACACTTAAATGAGGCAAAATAATGGGAGATGGAAATATCTGACTGTTATACTCAATTACAACAGGCAACCATCATATTTTTTACTTCATTTTGTATGTACTTATAGATTTCTCCTATGCAAGCAAAACACACCTACAAATAATAATATTCCTTTGAAGGTAAATATTCTAATTTAACAGCGAGAGAGGTCCTCATGACAGGAGAGATCAGAATCTCCTGTATTAGCCTTAAAATAAATACCGGGTTGTCATATCATGTATATTTCGTAATGAATGTCCATTGTACTCCTTCATTCAAATACAGTACTCATCATATTAGCATATTAACCCAGCCTTTGTTTGTGAGAACTTTTGTGCCATTCTTTCTTTTATGTGCTTTCAGGTTATGTATCTTTTAGTTCAGTTTTATAGATTTTTCTATGGTATTCATGGACTTTGAAGTTAAGTCTATTATGGGATCATGATAAAGGTCCTCTGATTACCTTCTGTTAAGCAAGAGTGTGCATAAAAAATGTGAAGAAATGTGTGCTATATTTATTCTACACATGAGATAGTATAAAACTTAGTGATTGTTTTAACTTTATCATTCAGACAATTCACAGCCTTATTATCTAACTTCTCCATTAAGTCTTAAACAAGAAACCTTCCACAAAATTATCAAATATTTGTCATGTTCTCTCATGGTTGAATACCAAATATTGTACACTTAATAATTATAGTTGAGGAAGCAAATAAATTGTAGGTGAATGCAATGTTTTATGTGTTTAAAAAAATGGTGAAATACATAATCTGTAATATGATTCTTTGAAAAATAACAAGAAAAACATATTGGGTAAGCTGAAACTATTACTGTGTATAACATAATTGTTATTAAAACTTCTTATTTACTATTACTACAAACTGTGTCTTCTCATCCTTACATTACTTTTATTTGGCATCCTTTCTTTTTGTAAAGGCACAAAAACAAATTTGAGATAGAAGCACAACTGAATATGGACCATGTGCTGCAGGTAGGAATTATTTCTGTTGCTTTTTTGATATTTTTACTTTCAGTATGTGAGGAAATCTGTCCTGAAATCTAAACTACAGTTTTAGCATTTTCAACTTTGACCATAAGAAACATTTAACCAACATTTAACTTGTCTCTAGGATATATTAGAACAAGAAACAGAGCATTATGAAACTGAGTTAAAAACTAACAATACCTCACAATTCTAAGCATGATTTTTCTACTTTGAATGATTATTTTAACTTAGAGCTTAAAGTTTGAAAATTACTATATTCAGGAACATTTTATGCTGTAGTGCTAATAACAAACTGAAATATTTTAACATATTGTCTGTCATTTGGTAAACAGTGCCAGTTTATCAGAAAATTCTAATACTGATATAGCATATTCATGTGGCTATTTAGAGCAATGAAGATTAACATTCATTGTAATTATATTTAAGGATGGCACATTTGGTATATATCAAATCAAAGATTCTCCTTTTGGCTATAGCTAAAAATAATTATTTTTATATGTGTGTCTAGAAACACTGATGTTAGCAAAAGTATGAAACAATGTGACAAATTTATCTTAAATTAAAATTTTACTGAAACATAATTAAGAAAAATCATTGAATACTAAAATTCAACAGTTTATCAGCAGTTGGTATGATAATGCTTGAAATAGTGACAGATTGGTAGTTTTGACTTGTCAACTTTAGATGATTGTACATGTTTTTAGTACTTTTTTGCTTGCTTGTATAGAGAAGATTTTAAATAATGGAAGGAATTTCAGTTGGATTATCTTTTTTAGCATATAAGAATATAACCATGAAATAAAGCATCTATTTGATCTTTCTTTGTTTTTGCTGCTGAACATTATTGAATTATGTGTATTTATGACAAGTAAGATCAGGCTACCCTTTTTAGAAAATACACAACACAAGTTATTTTTCAGTCTGTATGTAATAAAACCTGTCCCATTAATAGGTAACAAGTCCAACAAATGGTCTGTTGGGACGTAAGTGTCCATTTTTTAACTGGAAAATGTTGAAAAAAAAATCTTCTATAAGTATGATTTATACAGTTCTTGAAAATGTAACTATTGAAAAACTTTATGCCAAAAATCTAGCACTCGGGCTACATTCTGTCATATTTTTTCACCTTGATGAAGATGACTACTGTTTTTCACATGTGTTCTCCTTTACCAGAATATATTGTACCTAGAATAAAAAGGCAAAAAGCAAACAAATTGTAAGAAGGTTTTTCCTTCTGCTGCCAACTTTGTTTACCATCCATTCTAAAAATACAAATATGAAACTCATCACTGAAATGCATATCACCTCTGTATATTAGCAAAGACAGATGTAGAAATTTATGTGATCTCCTTTATATTTCTATAGTACATCCAGCTATAGCAGGCTAATAAGAATAGTTATTTTGTATTAGACTACTTCCACAGATCATAAATGTAAACTTTCATAATAATGTAGCATTTAAAAGCACAAAGCATATTTAATAAGTTGAATGAAAATGGTGATCTCCTTTACCCATTCTATGAACTCCTTTACATGCATCTCACCATATCCCCAATTATGTAATTTTATAAATACACCCATATTTATTGCTCACAGATTTAGGTTTGTAATTTATCAGTCATTTAAACCTAAAACTACCACCACTTGCACCATTTGAATGTTAGTTATACAGTTAGAGATACATATCTGTTATGCAATCCCATTTTCAAGAATGGTTCTTGCACGAAAATGAGTTGATTTGGACCTATACATTTCAAATCCACCCTACAATAAATCATCTGCACATGGTGGAAACTAAATATGGCAGGAAAAGCATTGTGCATCTATATATTCCCCTCAGAAGCAAAACTGAAGTAAAGAGAACGTGTTAAGGAGTTCATGCAATTTTGTGTTCAGTGATTTTTTATTGAAGAATGCAACTTACTATTACCCTTTCAGTTATTGATAACAACAAATTTCTTGGCTGTTGTGTATAATGATATAACAAAATGACATAATTTGAGTATCTACACCAGATATATACATAGAAAGGAGATCACTCACATGCTTAAAAAACTAATTTTATTACAAGCTCCAAATGGACATGCCCAAAATATCTCTTGATATCCTGTGTTTGGGGTATGATCAAATCAAATTATACACTTCCCAGCTTGATTTTAGACTCTAATCTTTTTATTTACTCAAACTTTGTAATTATTGTCTTGAAAATAAACAACCAATTGATCACAGCAACGTGTTATTTTGGATATTTTTGTATGTGAAAACTAATGGGTCAATCAGCTAATAACAAATTTTCAAAACATAAGTGTTTACTAATTAATCACAATAAAGGCTTGAGTCATACTTACAATTTTTGTTTTGTGTTATTGCTTTGAAATTAAATTTTTCTGCTGGCAACATGCTACTTTTAACACTCCACCATTGTTTATTTCCTTGGTTTGCTGGAAAAACTTAACACAAACTCAACATACTTTATATGTTTGGAAAGCTCTGTCCATCGTCTATCATTTAGAAATTATTATATGTTTGTGTAAGGTATGTACTCAGAGAAATTTGCCACAGAACACTAGTGATATCAAACTGGACACTTAGGAAATCCTGGCCCATAAGTGTTAACCATGTAAATAATAGCTCGTAAATGAAGGTACCTAAATTGGCTTCAGCCATATTGATGCTATACTTTATATTCTTGTGTTAAATTTTCTCATTTTGTGCTTATATATTCATATCTTTGTCTGTATTTGATGCTCTTCACTTTGCCCATTGTTATATATTTGTCAGTAGAATAGCCTGCTGTTTGCCCAATGGTGATGGGGATCTATAAAACAACACTGATTTATTGAGACACTATCTAAACAAGACACTAAATTATTATTATCTAGATAAAATTTGACTTTCTTTTATAATGTCCACACAGTTACAGATAACATGCTTTGATATTATTATGAGATTTATTTGCACACTTTTGTCATATAAACTAAATAAACAGACTCGCAAATAAATTTAACTGTACCACATTTTTGAAATTTTGTAACTTGTTATTTGAACATTGTAACAGAAGCAAACAATGCACTTTTGACAGATTATGTAAAGTCTTTAATATTTGGACAATACTTAAAAAGTTCCCATTGTAATGTTGTCAATCTTGTAAAGCATTTTGGCAAAATTTTTTTTGTTGCATTTGATGTATCTCATCAGTAAGTTTTTGAAAAAGCTTTGTTTCTAGAGAAACAAATGTTGGTAACATATTAGTACATAATAATATTAACTATACTCTCCTTTTTTTTTCCTGCAGTAGGTCTTAAAAAGAATACATATTGTAATGAATGTACTTTAATAATCCATATGCATAAAATTAAAATATAATAATATATTCAAATTTAAAACCATCTGCCAATTGCTCTTTGCTGTTGCATCCCTTGTTTCATTATACATTATAACTTTAAAGATATTGTTACGTATTACAATCTCAAATAGCCTAAAACTGAATGAAAATTGTACTTTGGACTTAGTAGTTAAATAAATGCTGATATGTATCCAATTTATGATATTTGCCAACAAGACTAAAATACACAGTTTTCTTTTTTAAAACAAATATATTTTAATATACAACCAAAATTACAATTTATAATAACAGTTATTACAAATAGTTATTACAAAGAATGTTTTATATACAACAGTTTTACAAATTTACATGCACTCTAAAGTCTTCTTTCTAGTCTGGATCTTCCTTAATATCTTATCGAGGGTTCATAATGAGTGAGTAAATTTCGAGTTGACATAGGTACAATTCACTTATTAGGGAGCTAGCTAGCTCTGTGGTCTTCATTGATCCCATGCCAATTTTTTCCCAATATTTTCGCAACAGTATTAATGTCCAATGTGAATCTACTCAAGTTAAATAGTTTGTAGTGTTCGAAATTTATAAATGTTCCTGGTCAAATATCTGAAGTGTCCCAATTAAGAAGCAGGATATAACAATCACAGTTATAACTTCTAAAGTTTATAGCACACTAACTATAGCAAAGCAATAATAGATACTCTTTTTTTTTCTCTTTTTTTTGGCGCATTGCA